AAAGAGAAAAAAACCTTTGGGGCGCCTGGGTGGCGCAGTCGGTTAAGCGTCCGACTTCAGCCAGGTCACGATCTCGCGGTCCGTGAGTTCGAGCCCCGCGTCAGGCTCTGGGCTGATGACTCAGAGCCTGGAGCCTGTTTCCGATTCTGTGTCTCCCTCTCTCTCTGCCCCTCCCCCATTCATGCTCTGTCTCCCTCTGTCCCAAAAATAAATAAACGTTGAAAAAAAAAAAATTAAAAAAAAAAAAAGAAAAAAACCTTTCTTTTTTTCTCTTACAAGTTCTGTAAATCGTGTAAATTTTTAAAAATTCTGTTAAAAAGGTATAGTTTCTAAAAATGTGATTGCTTCACTAGGGTCTCCTATTAAAATAGAAAATGGAAATTCTAAGTAGCTAAATGTGCTATTCAAGGGGAAGGAAATTGAAACAGTTACTAAAATGTGATCTATAGATCATCTATGAATTTCACTTGTATTTTCAACTTGGCTTCTCAGTTTCCAGTAACTTCAGTTAAACTGATAATAGCCTACCAATAAACAACCACGTTTGGTAGTTCTTTCAAGCTTTTAAGGATTTTAATAACCTGGAACTAAGAAAAGGAGTACCAAAGAGACCTTATTTATTAAATTATCTGGGGGAATAGTACTTATTAAAATTGTGTTTTGCTTGAAATGTTAAAAAGAAAAAACACATCTTAAAGCTTTAGCTGTGATGCATTTGACCTTAGTTTTGGTTATAAACTTGAACTTCAACACTGACAGAGACCAAAGTGTGCATTTTACTAGTTAAGATATGATAAGGTGTCCCTACAGTTGACACAGAAATCTTTGTTAGTCATCTATGAAAGCTCAGTTTTAAGGTTTTTTTAAATATGTGGCTGAAGGGTTTTGGGGACTCTTCTAAGTCTAAGCAAGGGACTTAGCATATCTGGGAAATATTTTGAACATAAAACCAGAAAATAGATCAGTGATTGCCTGTGATTAAAGAGGGGCTTGTGGGAATTTGGGGGAGGTGATAGAAATATTCTAACGCTGGTTTGTGGTGGTATGCAGTGGCGGCATAACTTTATAAGTTTACTAAAAATCATTCAGTTGTACACTTAACAGTGGCTAGATTTTATGGTGTGTAATTTATTCCTTTAAAAATCTGGGGGGGTGGTTCTTAAAAGAATTAGCTATATGCTGTCAGACAAAAAGTTTCAAAGTTTGTGAAGGAGTAGTCTATTTGAGCTCTTAGAGATGGCTAAAGCACATGCCTTTGACCTTATTTTTGTAGTGCTATTAAGTTTAGCACAAGTATAGTGACACGCGTGAATGTATGTTGCATTTGATAATAACACGGTCCCTAGCCACAAGAGGTTTATCTAGGAGGGATGAGAATTTGAATTAAGACATTGATGGGGAAGGAGGAAAGACCTCCAAAAGTGATTTAGGAAGTACTGTTGGTTTTGCAATTTTTCTAAGAAGTTGCCAGGGTTTCTCATTTAGGAGAGTGTGTCATTTGAATTGGCCACCAACCAAGAAAGGAAATCTAGGAGGGATCAGCATGGAGGCAGGAAGGGTACATGGTAAATCTGAATCTGGCAGCCCAGTGGTCACTAGAGAATAAAGAGTCAAAAGAACTGGGGCAAGGTTTCATTCAGGCCCCAGCTTGGCCAGTGTCAGGACTTTATTTCTTCCTCTAACTAGGAGGGTGACAAATTCCTAGTTAAGAAAAGTCAAGATTAAATGTGGTATGTAAAGTACCAAGTGCAGTGTCCCATGCAGTGTAGACGCTAAGTAATTACTAGGTGTAAGGCAGAGTTTAATATATTCCCCAGATCCCAAGAAGCCTGATTCAGGTGTTACGTCTTAGCTTTTTAATGACCTTCCTCCTTAAATAATAAAGTGGCGTTGTGATTGATACCAGCCTCTTGAGAATTTGGATAGTGTGAGTCAGTAGTAGGTTGTTCCTAGCCCTGCAACGCTAAGGCTTAACACCTAGAACCTGATGACCCCACCCTGCACAGGTTTTTCTACTTCCTAAAGACTTTTGACAGAAAAGGATGTTTTGCTGGTTTTTGCTAGATTCCATGGCATTCCAACCTAGATTTTTTGGCAAATAAGAACTACATTTTACAGTTTTGTGTACATATATAGTACTCTATAAATGGAAACCACAACTAGAAATAGTGACTCTGCACAGATATTTTTGGTTTTGGTAATGAATCATATAATTGAATCCAGTAAAAATACTTGGGTAAAAGTAAAAAATAGACTGAATTTGAAGCAGGGAAGAGAAAGCATATTAAATCTCTTTACCCCATTTAGGATAAAGGGCCAGTAGCAAATGGTCAAGCTATATTGTAATTTTGAATCAAAGATAGAATGATGTAGGGTATAGGCAGAGTTCGTTTTGAAGCCCAGTACATTTTCCACAACAGCATTGTGTTTGCCATGGCCAATTCAAAAACATCTAGATACTTCTGTATTATGGTTGAAATAAATTACACTATGAATATTATATTTAAAAGTTTGGAGAAAAATTGGCCTTAAAGTAGTGAGTCCCAGAAGCCCAAGCAGGGGGGTGAACTGCACAAATACTAGTTTTCAGAGAAATACAGAATCCCAGCACTGTGTCTTAAGACGTAGGACAGGAAACCTTGCTGTTGATTACTTTCTGTAGATGACTGGTATTAAGAAACATGACCCAGATCACCTGCTCACAAGCCGTTGCATGCTTTGGTTATGTGAAGAGTCATACACTCCGATGTCTTACAGGGGAAGTAATTATGTGATGCAAAGTGGTGATTGAGCAGACAGAATGACCTCAGGGGAGTTGCAGCTACCACTCAACTCTAGTCATTGTTGCCTTATGAGAACAGGTGCCCCATGTGCCAAATCTCCCCATTGTTTAAAAAAAAAAAAAAAAAAATACAGGCTCTATCGTTAGAAATCTCTCAAGTCTTAAATGGTGACCCAGCTGTTTTTTTATTAATAAACTGTGTGGGCCACATTAAACATGTCCACAGTGGACATGTGTTTTGTAAGGAAAGGGTTGCCTGTCTTGTTCACTGCTGTGTCCCTTTTGCCACCAAACGAGTTCGGCCTGCAGGCCTCAAATTTGCAACCTCTGACCTTTATGTAACAAATACTGTGTTCTTAAGCCTTTGGAAAAGGGAAAGCTATCATTTTAAAGGCTGAAACGATAGTTTTACCTTCTGTTGTCATTTTGCAAAAATGTAATCAAAAAGTTAAATACCATTTCTTAAGTGGTGTCATTTTCACCCAGGGTTTATTCATTGGCATGTTTGCTTAAAGTGAAGTGGTTTTCCTTTCACTAGCCACAGATTTTAATTGTATTTACCATTTGTTTTTCATTCTTCTTAAACTTTCATATCAAAATATTTAATGGAAGTCATAATGATCTTTGTGATAATGACTTTTCTGATGACCTTAGGACCACCTAATAACTAAAGAAGAAGTTCACAGATGTAAGAAGGAATGGAATTTTTAATTTGTAATGAAATTTCCCCAAATTTAAAATGACAGTGGATTCTTACTACAAACATAAATTGTACATTATTTTTCATAGTGGCAGCTATAGCAACTCTGCATGCCATTTAAAATATATGTAATACAGGGGCGCCTGGGTGGCGCAGTCGGTTAAGCGTCCGACTTCAGCCAGGTCACGATCTCGCGGTTCGTGAGTTCGAGCCCTGCGTCAGGCTCTGGGCTGATGGCTCGGAGCCTGGAGCCCGTTTCCGATTCTGTGTCTCCCTCTCTCTCTGCCCCTCCCCCGTTCATGCTCTGTCTCTCTCTGTCCCAAAAATAAATAAAAAACGTTGAAAAAAAATTTTTTAAAAATAAAATATATGTAATACAAATATTTAAAACACAGGAGCTGAAAGCCACACTGGGAATAAATTCTTTTTTTAATGAGAGCTGTTGTGTATTCTTGACTATATCTAGATCTTTAAAAAATGGTGTTTAAGGGGATTAATTGCTGTAAATTGAAGGAGTTGCATATATTCACTCTCTAACTTTTGAAATCCTGAAGTGTGATTATTCTTGTTTTGGAATTTGGATTCAAAGCTCCCCCCCATCCCCCCAATGTTTCAGCACTTCCGTGATATATTGAATCAGTGTGATTTCTTAAACATAAGTTATGTAATAATGGCTTCTCTTTCTCTTCTTCTCTGTTCTTGTTTTCCTAGCCATATGCCAGGGCAGTGGAAGAATTTTGGCTTTAGGTTGGGTGAACTGCACTCCAGTCATGGTTTTCTGTACTTGAAAGCTGTGTAACCTTTGATCACTTAATAACCTTGGATAAGTTATGAAGTGGGGCTGATAACCTCACAGAGTTATTGTGACAATTTTGAAATAAGTAAAGCACCTAGTGCTCCACAGACTCCAACCTAATGTTAATGCCATCACCCCTCCATGGTTGTAGAGGTACCTGATGACCAGAGCCACCCCATGCTCTGGACCAAGACTCCCCTCTTCTCGTTTTCTGATCACCCCTTTTTCTACTCTTGGAATCATCCCACTCATGCCCCACAAGTCTTTCCTCAAATTATACATACTCAGAATGTACACTTAACACTTAGCCTAAGCCTTTCTGACATCTCTGCCTGTGCTTCTCATTATTCAGTTTTTGATACTCCACTTTTTCCTGTGTTTTTCATACCAACCAAGAGAGAAGTGATCTTGTTCTGGCCTCGCCTAAACATGTTTGCTTCCTTGGCTCACTGTTTCTAAACGGTTCTTAGCTTGGTTTGCCTGTTTATTTGTTCAGTGAATGAACCTTGGGTCCTTTAGTACAGAGTCAACTATTTCCCATAATAGTGCTGCAAAGGAGTACTACTACAAAGTAGATACTTTATTTATATATATAATTTATGTATGTATGAATAAATGGTTCTCATATATATGTATGTATAAATGACTCCCACCAAGTAGATACCAGCAGTTTTTTTTTTTTAAATCATAATGCTTTCTTGTGCTTTTCCATTTGCTCCTAGGTTTTTAGAACTTCAGCTATAAAAATGGGCAGAATTTTCCTTGATCACATTGGTGGTACCCGTCTGTTTTCTTGTGCAAACTGCGATACAATCCTGACCAACCGCTCAGAACTCATCTCTACTCGGTTCACAGGCGCCACTGGCAGAGCATTTCTTTTTAACAAGGTTGGTGGGAAGACCAGTTCCATTTCCTAAGTGGGTTCAGTGAATGTATTTGACAGCAGTACTAGAATACCTCTCAGAGTTTGGAGATACCAGAAATGAGAGCTATAATCTGCATGTTCAAATGAGTGCCCACTAGCTTACCTTTGGGACCTTAGGAAGGGATTACTAGAATGTGAGTTTTTTACCATGAAAGTTTGAAGACTGTTACAATAAGAAGGGTAGTCTCCATTGCTTTAGAAAACATTCAGTGTAAGAATTTAGTAGTGACTTCATGGACTGTGGAAGAATGTAGAAATGCCACTACACCCATGTTACTGATTTGTCCTTATGTGGGGATAGCTGCATTAAGCTTTCATAGCTTGACAGTGCAACTGAATGAAGATCATCTAACCAACTTCCCTTGCTCTAATTTATGCTCACCAGTCATCCTTCTGATTATGGTGTGGCTTATGGCATGCCAAGGGGAAGAGCATTTACCGATTTACTAATTAATGACTAGTCTGCCCACTTCTCTAATTTCTGGCTGGCTTTAAAATTGGTTGAGCCGATTCTGTCTCCTGGAAATCTCTAATGTGTACTAGCAGAGTTGGATTCCCAAATCTTTTAGGCTAAGAGACAGAACTAGTCTAAGGTACTGCTCTTAAAAGGTCAACTAAACTTCCCCTGTGGACACCCCTCTGTTCCACTTAGAAATAAGCTTTTCTCTCAAAGAATTGATAGTGTATACCCCTTGATCTTTCTTTAGGGATGGAGCAGGAGTTGGTACACTATGGCAGGACAGCTGCCTGTTTTTGTAAATAATGAAACACAGACATATTCATTCATTTATGTATTGCCTGTGGCTGCTTTTGTGCTACAACAGCAGAGCTAAATAGTTAGAACAAAGATCATATAGCCTTCAAAGCCAGAAATATTTACTATCTGGCCATTTACAGAAGAGTAAAGTGTAGAGGACTTTCGGATGGTCAGAATCATTGGAAATTCTTCACAGATTATTTGAATCCACTTGAAAACTGTATTGCCATGTATGATCTATAGTTGGCTTAGTGTGTCTTTTTCGGTTTGTATATAAAATGTATTTCCAGAAACAGATTTGGCAAACCTTTTTTATGGAATACAAGTTGCATACTAGGTTCTTTTACATTGGTAGCCTTATTTGAACTCCTCGTTGAATGGTGAATGATGACAGCTAGATCCAAACCAACATTTTACGACTCCAAGTTGAGGACTCTTCGCTGCAACACAGAAATGTAACTAGTGTATATGAATAATATGGTTAGGACTAGTATATAGTATAGTAATTCAAGATTGCATTAGATGTCCAGTGCAATTTCCAGATATTTGCCTTTCCCAGCAGCTTCTAAAAATAGCCCTTGGGAAGGGTATGGTAGGTTTGACTAAAGTAACAACTGCTGTTTGCTTTTCTCAAGTTGCTGTCATTGCATCAACCACAATAGTGTGTGCTTTTTGGGCCAGCAACTCACATGGCTCTGCAATTTTGTGTTCCCCTGTTTCTTAGGTAGTTAACCTGCAGTACAGTGAAGTTCAAGACCGGGTCATGCTCACTGGCCGCCACATGGTTCGAGACGTGAGCTGCAAGAACTGCAATAGCAAACTGGGATGGATCTATGAGTTTGCCACTGAAGACAGCCAGCGCTATAAGGAGGGCCGTGTGATCCTGGAGCGCGCTCTAGTGCGAGAGAGCGAGGGCTTTGAGGAGCATGTACCATCCGATAACTCTTGAAGAAAAAGAGCTAACTCCATCTCTTCCCAGGTCTCCTTCACTGAAAACAAAAATCTACTTACATACACTGTCACCTTAGCATCAGGGTCGGATTCATGAACTGCGGAACAAGAGGTTGTGAGAATCTAAGATGGAACCTTTCTTTCTTTCTTTTTTTTTTTTTTTTAATTTTCAATTTTCCATCCAGCAGCAGTGTGTAGAGAGAATATTATGCAGATGCTGTTAATTTTTTTTCCCCTGTGTTTACATCTTGAGGCAGAATAGTCTATCTGCAGCTACGTGATGGGCTATGTGAGGAAAAAAATCTGGGCTATTAGAGTGAAAAAGTGTGTTGTATGTAAATTTTGAAAGGAAAAATGTGTCAAGAGCATGGTTTTTAAACTTATTTGGGCTTCATTTAAAAAAAATTTTTTTTAAACCCAGTTATTTCACTTGATTTGCTAGCTTCAGGGAAGAGATCCGAATTTGTGACCAGCGCTAAAGGTTCAGTGTTAGTATGGCTTGTGCTGGCCATTGTGCCATATTCTTGTTGGAGATGAACCGTAGCACCAGAGCCCATCCTTCCTTGTCAGTCTTGACCCAAAGATGTCACCAGTCCTAGTTATTTGTCACCACGTAATTGGTGTTGATTGGAAACTTTTCCTGAAATGGGGCAGAACTGCTTGGTTGTCTTTTCCATGTAACTTAAGCATAGTAATATAAATAAAGTGATAGTTGGATGTTTTTGGTCCTGTGTTGCTTTTAAAAACACCTTTTAAAAGAGCAGAGTATTTGATAAGTAATTTTCCTGGTAGTGTTTCTTTTCATCTCTTAAGCTAAATTGAGTGTGTAGAGATTACTTTGTTTAAAGCATACTGTTTAAACTCCTAGTACTGCGTTAAGAAAAGAGTTGAACGGAATGTCTGTGCATCCATGCAGAAAGCATTTCATCTGCATCTGTTTTAAAAGAAGGGGAGAAATGAAGGAGCCTATCTAAAATTACTGCTTTGCAAAAAAGTGTTTTCAGCCTGTCCTCAGTTTTGTGTTGATTTTGACAAGTCTGTAGAACCTAATAGTTTCATCAAAGCACTAGATCTGTCATTAGCATTATTTTCTCAGATCTACCCTCAGAAGTTCAACTATTGAAATTTAAACTGTACTTGGTCCTTTCAAGCAGAAAGGGATCAAATGTGACTCAGGGTGTTATTTTAGCCCCAAATTTACAACATTATGAAGTATTAAAATATAAATGTTTCTTTATCCAAACTATTTCTAGATATTCTAGTATTTGTTTCTGGTGGAATAAATAACATTAAAATTGGCTAATTATTTAAAATGTGTGAATGGATGTTTGCGTGCTCAATCTCTAGGTCTTTGTCTAGAAAGGATATTTGCCTCAATTAGCAAAATCTTTCTGTCATTGGTATTAGAAGTGACTTCTGAGTACAGTTAAGATTAAGTTTCTCTTTTTTGCCTTCGGGCTTTTGGTTAGAGGCATAGGTCTCTGATGAAGTAGGTGTATAATACTGCATTTGAGAGAAGTGGACACAAATGATCTTTCCTTCACCGTGGAATAAATCTTCAAGCTTTAAGAACCAGCTTTCATTCCCATCCATTTCCATACTGGCCTTGGATTACATGCACATCCCCGCTTAGCCTGCCTTATCTGCAGCACTATGAGCATTTGCTGTCACAATAAAGTATATTTTGTCTTGCATTGGTGCAATATTACTTATTTTCCACTGAGCCTTCTCTAGTAATCGTCTTAGTTTTAAAAAAACTTTTTATTTTTGAGAGAGACAGAGCTTGAGTTGGGGGAGGGGCAGAGGGAGAGAGAGGGAGACACAGAATCGGAAGCAGGCTCCAGGCTCTGGGCTGTCAGCACAGAGCCCGATGGAGGGCTCAGATTCACAAACTGCGAGATCATGACCTGAGCCAAAGTCGGATGCCTAACAGACTGAGCCACCCTGGCACTCCTCATCTTGTCTTAGTTTTAACGTGAACACATATGTCATACCTTTGAGTAGCTGTGGCTTTCTTCAATTAGCAGTGATAAAGTGAGATTCTGGCTCAACTTTACCTAATCTCCACCAGGAGATACTGAATTTACCAGTACTAACTTCTGTGAGATGACTTTGTCTCGGGCACTGATGAACTATAGTGTATATGAACAAATAAAATGACCCATCACTACATTAACTTAAGCGACTGGCAGGTACCACAATGAACAACAAGGTCTTCTGTCTTCCTCTTAAAATCTTGGCAAAAATAAAAAAGCAACATGGAAGATCCAGTTGAATTGGATTGTTTATGGAAAAGCAAACACACTGTTCACTGGAGATGGGAAAGCACTAATGGGAAGGATTTTGCTTTGGGATGAGGAGGTTGACCAAATACAGGGGAGTATATCACATAATCAGTGGGTCACTGAGGGATGGACAGAGTAAGCTTTAATGTTTGAAGACTTCGGAATCTTTTTTTTTTTTTTTTTTAATTTTTAATGTTTATTTTTGAGAAAGAGACAGGATGTGAGTAGGGGAAGAGCAGAGAGAGACACAGAATTTGAAGCAGGCTCTGGGCTCCGAGCTGTTAACACAGCCCGACGTGGGGCTCAAACTCTCAAACTGCAAGATGGTGACCTGAGCTGAAGTTGGACGTTTAACCGACTGAGCCACCCAGGCGCCCCCAGAACCCTTCCTCTTAAGTGACAATGGCTATGAGTTATTTTGATTTTAAGCCACGTGAGTGCTTTTATTTAAAGAGAACCTAAGGTGAATATTTCTGGGGTTAAGCATTTGTTAGTGATTATTGTAATGATTTATGTTTCCCTTGTGAGTGGCTACTTTGGCACTGGAGGAGAAAAATAGTAGTACCATGTCTGTTTTCTAAATTTACCTATTCGTAAAAGTCACATGGGATGTTTCAATACAGAGGTGGCCCCAGCCCAGGCTGAAATCAGTCCACAGGTAATCTTGATCTGGCAGGATTGGGAAACTACCAGTTGTAAAATATTCAAAGACATGTTTATGATGGTTCATTTCCACACTGGTTATAAAAATATCTCAGTTTAAATAGATATCCACTATTGCATGCCTGTTTTAACACCAGCTTCCCACCAGGAGCCATATAAAACCTTCTAGGGAAGGTGTGAATTGGGAGTAGAGCAAGATTAAACTGAAAAACTGTTAAAGGCTAGCACTTTGCACTGATACGAAAATTACTATAGAAATAAAGCAGAACTAAAAGGAAAAATCAGGATGGATACCCATCTAAAGTTGAGTGTGAATTGTATGGCTTCTTTGTTTTAAAATAGTGGGACTTAACAAATTGAAGCTTGTATATTATACTATGTATGTAAAATACAGGTTCCAAAGCACCATTAAGGATTTTGTGACCCTGGACAACACTCTACATATTTAGGCTTGTGACGTCATCTGTAATCTGACCACCTGGGAGGCTTGTTAAACTGAATTATGCCCCCATTACCTTTCCCGATACTGAATTGGTCTCTGAGGGGGAGCCAAGAAACCCAGAGTTTTTACCCTACTGCAAACATAACCTGTCTGAATACATGATAATCACTATTCAAAGGGTTATTCAAACTCAAAATATAGTAGTCTCCCATTATCTGTGGTCTCACTTTCTGAGCAATCAATCACTGTCTGTGGTCAGCTGTGGTCAGGAAGCAGATGATCCTTCTGACAGTGTGACTCCCATCACAATGCCCTTGTCATGCAGCTCACTTTCATCATGTTGGCACTTTATCCTCTCACATCACAAGAGGAAAGGTACAATATATTTTGAGAGAAACCACATTTGCATAACTTATTACAGTATGTTGTTAAAATTGTCCTACTTTATTGTTAATCTCCTGTGACTAATTTATAAATTAAATTTTATCTTTTGTACATATAGGAAAAAACACACTGTGTAGGGTTCGGTACTGTCTCAGTGTCAGGCATTGACTGGAGTCTTAGGCGTATTCCCTGCTGATAAGGGGGTGGGGAGGGGCTACTATAATGTATGGTTATGGTTACCACCTGGTACAAACAGGTGTTTCTCACAAGAGGCCCATAGAGAAGTAGGAAGGAGAGAAAAAAGGATTAATAAGATTGCCACCTGCTTAAAAACAGTGATCCTTAAAATGAATAATCCAACAGATAATAACTTTTAAGGAGAGGAAGAGTCTCCTGGGAAAAAGTTTCTAAAAGATCACTAAACTTTAAAGACTCAGTGTTGAGTATGATTTACTAGCTATGTGACTTTGGGAAGTATGTGACTTAAGCTCTTTTACAGAGACAGAGTGCCAGCAGGGGAGGGGCAGGGAGAGGGAGAGAGAGAATCCCAAGCAGGCTCCACGCTGTCAGCACAGTCAGATGCAGGGCTCAATTTCATGAACCATGAGATCCTGACCTGCGCAGAAATCAAGAGTCAGACACTTAACTGAGCCACCCAAGTGCTCCTTGGCTTCACCTTCGTTTTAACCTTTTAACCTTCGCTTTCTTAAGTACAAATTACAAACACAAGTTCTATCTTAATGGTTCTTGTTAAAACATAGTGGAATACCTGGCTTAAAAACCTGTTAAGTATTATGCAAATGTATGGAATAACTATGCTGTTTTTCATTAATCCTTCACAATCCTTCACAATTTACTCCAATTTTACTCTGAATTAAAGAATGGCCAGAATGCTTTCAAAGCTCTTGAAATCCTTCCTGGTCTTAATATGCCTTTATAACAATTTAGGGAAAGAAATCTGCTGTTTATCAAATGTTATCATCTTGACCTTTTTGCCTTTCATAGGCAAAAGAATAGACATTTTACTTTGCTTTCAAAAATTGTCAAAGCTCCTATTTTTCTCCTACCATGGAACAGAAGGAAGAAAAGGTAAAAGGCTCATTGAATATAACCTCAATGATAAAGTAAATAAAGAAAAAATAAAACCTCCATTTCCCCCGCAGCCAGACAAGATAACTTTTGAGAAGAATCCTGTAAGAATGTTCACTAATAGGTAGTGACTACTCCAAACCTAATTTTCTTTCTCCTGTGTTGTCTTAGCCTATTCCACACTACTGCTATAATAGCATTGATCCAATTTTTAGAGTCCCAAGATTATGGCAAAAATGGTTTATATACCAAATCATCTCATTTTGATCCTCCTTTGTAGATTTGCCCCAAAGATAACGAACATGTCATGTCTTGTCCCTGGATTTAAAGCAAAGTACAAAGACCAATTCCATCTAATAACTTAGAAAATGTATCCAGAGCAAAGCCCAGCTTTGAAAAAGGAGGTATTTGTGTTCCTGAGGATTGGCCAGAGGCTTTCAGGATCTGGTGCAGTTGGAGAAACCCCACACGATGTGCCCCTGCATCGGGAGGTTGGCTTCAGCTGTTCCCCAGAATCTCACTCCCCTTCCACGAACTGTTGAGGTACCATGGGGTGAGCTGTCAGCATCTGGCCACCGACCTTCTCAGCTAACCAACACTACCTGTAGCCCTCCCAGAAAATACTGGGCAAAGTGGAGGTGTTAGTGTGAACACATGAAGATTCTCTGAGAGTTCTCCTTCCCTAGCTAAGCCATCTCCCTTCCCACAGGTTCCAAGCCAACTGGAAGGTGCTCAGGCGCATTTGTAAAACCTGCCGATATGCCAAGAGGAACCAGAAGCTTTTCCAATCCCTTTCTGAGTAAACCTTAGGTCCTGTGTTAAAGTAGGCTCCATAGAAAACAAGTTTCAAAGATTGAGAGGAGGCAGTATTTTCAAGGACTTGAGTAATAAGGAGTAAAACAGTTGAGTGGCCCCTGCTGAAGTTTACAATGAAGAAAAAATAGTTTTTAATAGACTATCAGCTGGGACTCATGATCCCAGGAAAGTACCAGTAGATGGCATGAGTACGCAAGAAGTTCAGCCCTTAACTGCCAGTCTGACCTGTCTCTTGGAAAAGAACATCTGAGACAGTCTCACAGTGCCCCCAAATGCGAGAGGACTTCACTCCAACAGGGTAGAGTTGTTGTGGGGGTCCAACAGGGTAGAGTTGTTGTGGGGGTCAAAGGAAATCAGATGTGAGAATGTGCTTGGAAACTACAAAGATTATAAAAATAGTCTGGTTTCTAGTTTTGGGGAGAAGTGATTTTTTTCTACCATGTTTGTTTTAGTATCTAAAGTTTCAGCTTACACAGCTTCAAGCAGTATTTTTTTCAACAACTATTTTTTAATATTAGCTTTTATTTTGGAAATGACAACGTGAGTCACAGAAAACTGAACGCCACAGTGTGACTTTGAGGTTAACCTCCTGAAGCCTCGTTGCCTCAACGTTAAAATATGGAAAAAAAAAATTATGGGGAATGTGTGTGAAAATTCTTTATAAGCCATATAGTAGTCCAAAAATAAAATACATTCCTATAAATTGAGTGAGAGTCAATGAGTTATTTAGCATAGGCTCCAGTTGCTAGAAAGTATTTCGCTCATTCCTTTATCCATCCAGCAACGTTTGAGTGCCTGTTCCCCGTGTAAGACAATATGCTAATACTCAGCAGCACCTGGCACCCACTTCCCAGCACCCAGATGAAGCCCAGTAAAAATGCTCCAAGCTACTTTATCAATACTGACTGTATCCCTCCTGCAGGAAATGAAAGGCAACCAACATAGGGGTGCAAAAGCTGATGAAGCATCTTCATTCTTCCAGGAATCGATTCATTCCTAAGTTTGAAAAGAC